GAGCGGGACTCAGAGGAGTGATAGGACTGCTAACCGGCCAGTGGCATCTGAGAACACATCTACACAACATGGGCATATATAACGATGATCCCATCTGCATATTATGCAATGAGGAGGAGGAACAGCCACCCATATCATCTTCGAATGCGAAGCAACGGCTCAATGGAGATTTAACCTAACATACAGAAAAAACCAAGGAAATAAAATTGTAGCAGCGAGAGCCAACGACTTGATACTTCTAAGAAGAAGTCTGTTGCACTGAACTAGGGAACTAGGAAGGTACAATAAGCCAGAAGGCTGCAGTGCCTGGGGAGCCCAAACCTCGCTTCCTACTATCCTCATTACCATTGCCATTACCAAGAAGTATATGTAGTTGTAACATTCGAGGTGTATAATGTACTGCGCCCTTAATTCTATCCTCTGTTATACAGGGTGTCCGTTTTAGATGGCCCGGCTGAATTTCTCTTGAACAAATAACGCTATAAAAAACAAAGAAATACGTATTTTATATTTTTTTTAGTTGTTTCAAATTTTTACCTATTTTTTGGAGAAAAATTATTCAGGGTACCTCAGGCTCAGTTCAACTTCAAAATTTCAAACATCCTGAAACATCATCACATCATTTTGAAGGCTATTTTACGCTGAAAACACGGGTGAAATCGGATTTGAAATTGGTCAAAACCGACAAAGTTATGGCAAAAAGCGGCAGAGCAATTTCGACGAGGAGCTTACTATGTTCGCGAAAATCCGAATTCCTCTCTCCGAAATTGGAAGGGTTTTAGGTTTTTCTACAAATAAAATTAGAAATATATTCCGGACTTACAATTTTAAGCCGATACGGCGGTACGCTCTCAACTTGTCCAGGGACTTTGGGAGTCCGATTATGAGAGGCGTCTAACGTTCGGAAATGTCGATTTGGAAGGCTGCCGAAAACGTTTTTCCATACATCCTATGGATTGATGAATCCAAGTTCACCTCTTATGGCATAGTAACCGTTAAAGGAAAACCCGAGAATTCGTAATCTTGCCATTATCAGGTGGTTCACAGTATCAATGTTTGTTGTGGATTTTTCGGAAATAAATTATTTAGGCCTTATTTCTAGGAAAATAATTTAAATGGTGCCTGCGGCAAAGAATAGAAAATCCATAATCCATATCCCCTGACTCTATCGCTGAGAGCACCGGTGATCAGTGGTTAAAAAGAACAAATCTTTGCATCTTTTCAGAAGGCAGGCAGTTCAAACATGAAATGTGATTGAAAGCGAACCAAAAGACTGTTTTCCAGATTTTTGCCATATCTTTGTCCCTTTTTAGACCCATTTCAAATCCGATTGCGCCATTGTTTTCAGCGTAAACAATCTTTTAAAATAATGTGTTAGGATGTATGTGGTCGTTTTTGAAATTTGGAAATTGAACTGGGCCTGAGGTACCCTACATAATTTTTCTCCAAAAAAGGTAAAAATTTGAAACTAGACAAAAAAATATTAAACACCTATATTTTGTTCTAAGTTTAAGTCCCTAAACTTCCTCCTGAGGGAAATGTGACACTACAGTTAGTAGGTATGTTGGTGTCTCCTCTGTTTCTTTGCAGAATCTTCACTTACCATGTAGTGTTATACCAATTTTCTTCAGATACCCTTTCAGTGTCTTGTTAAGAATCTTGAGAATCGAAGTTTTTACTGCTTCTTTTGATGTATTCTGTTGTTTCTTTCCTTGCAAAATTTGCTAGAAGGGTCTTGGATTTTTTATGTCCAATGAGCGAATACCATTGTTTTTTCATTTTAATTTTGTCCTTTTGTCTGACGTATTGATCGATCGTGTGAATCCCTATGCCACGAAGGACTCAGGACGTATCAGCGGTATGGTTGCTCCTTTCCTTCCAAGGGCGTCCTCTTTCCCGTTGCCCACTACTCCCAGATGACCTGAGCCTCAGCAGAGGTTGACTTAATTTTGCATATCTAATCTATTTCGTTTAGTTATGCACTCCTGACATGGCTGCTTGGCTATCGAAAATACGGCTCTATCTTGTTTTTGAACTCTTTGTTCAGATTGGCCCGGGTATTCCTTTCAATTGCATAGGCTTCAGCTAGTGAATTTTTCCATGGGTTCTGAGTATTTGGTTCCCCTATACGTTAATGCGTTCTAGATCGGTCAGTGTACAAACACATAGTGCCGTCCTCCATGGCGGGGTTCTTCCCAATCTTTTTTGGTACGTAAATGTTTGGGAATTTTGTTTAAACTCAAACATCCTGTTCATGTCGTCTCTTGGGGCCATGAATATCGGATGTTCCTTCATTAGACTATTACTATCTCTCCATTTTAGTTTTAGCCCTGTTGTAGGTTTTTCTTAGATGATGTTAATAATTGTCTTCTACTGTCCTCATTGTCATATCGTGGAGGGGAGGATCTTCCCAATATTTTCCCCATACCAGCTGTGAGACATGTTCTCATCGCTTCCGTTATAAAAACGCAAAACGCGAGCCTCTGTGTTTAGTAAAAAAAGTTAGTTGTTTTGTTTTGGAGGATTAGATGGATCCTAGACCGATAGGTCCTTACGATATTAAGATTACTTGCAATATAACGCCCTCCTCTTTTTGTTACAGTTTTGCGTTTTTTTCATCGTCATTTCCTTTTTTACAAGTTACCGGGTATCGGTGTCGGTAAAGTGGCACCGGCGGCAGGTGGGACGGTCGCAGGTGCCTCTATCGGCTATAAACTTTTGAGAAGACTAGGAAAAAAAAAGCCCGGCGACAAGAAATCTTGGGGAATAAAACACTAAAGCTTTCGACCCGCAGGGTCACGCTCGGCTGTCTTATTGACTGGGCGAACCATAATGGATTCATTGCCTCATCACGATTCGGCACCATGGGCTGTAATCCCATTAAATTAGACTTATCAACTCATTATTCTTTGCATTGCTCTTTAATATCTTAATCATCGCAACTTAACCATCTGAGAATGATGACGGCAGTTCTCGTATTGAAGATGTCTTAAGGTTAAGAGATTTCCAAATGAAAAAGGGCGGGTCAAGATTAACTTTGGGCGGGTTTATTTTCTCCAGTTTCAACAAGATTAGAAGTGTCCTTTTCGCAGCAAGCTTGATGAACGGTGGGAGGAGATTATTCGATATAAAATTCGTACTCTTTAGAATGCTGAATGGATTTTTTTTCGGCGAACCAACATTCTGAGGTTTGCATGATGATGACTCTGTAGTCCTTTCGAATTTTACGGGTTTGATCAATCAACAAAGATGGCGAACCAGGATGATCGAAGTAAACTACGAATTTAATTATAAATTCATTAGTTAAGAACGTTAAAAAATGGCTGTCATTTCCAAATTAGAATGATTACCTTTTACAAACTATACACAGAATGTTACATTTTTATATATTATATTCCTTCAAGTTCCTTGTTCAAAGGACAATTTCAATACACATCTGGCAAGAAGGAGGCGAAGATTGAAGCTCTAAGCAAACTTTTTTCCGGTTGGGTACACGATAAAAAAAGTTTCTTTTCAATCCTTAATTACTTCATCAACGATTTACCTCTAGATTATTCATTATGCTTGTTCAGCAAAGATATTTTTAGACGGTAGTATTGGAGACTTTTGATAAAATTTTTAAGGTGAATAGCCCATTCGTAAAAGTTGGCATGATATAAATTCTTATTGGATGGGATTAGATTCATATAAGCTCATCTGCATATGTGTATATAAACACATGTGTAAAGTTGAGGCTAACATTTCTCGTAGTCCACCGGTAGGACTCGAGAATCACCCACCTCAAGTCTTGGCAGTCGGTCTTATCCGAACAGCTGAGCTCAACAGCTAGGTCAATTCTTTGATCTTTCCATTCAGCCACCCAGATTAGGCTCCGAGTGCTGTCAACAGCTAGGTCAATTCAGCACCCAACGCATGCATTATCGGCATGCCTCGAGAATCACCCACCCCAGGTGTAAGCAGTCCGAGGTCAGACCTAGTCTTTCCATTCAGCCACCTCGATTGGGATCCGAGTGCTGTCAACAGCTAGGTCAATTCAGCACCCAACATTATCGGCATGCTTCGAGAATCACCCACCCCAGGTGTAAGCAGTCCGAGGTCAGACCTAGATCTTTCCATTCATCCACCTCGATTGGGATCCGAGTGCTGTCAACAGTTAGGTCAATTCAACAACTAATGCAAACTCATTCACATTTTAACACTTTCTTAAATACATTCTCTCTTATTTCTCAATTAGAATGGTGGAGGTACTCGATATTCCTCTATCACCCTTCGCACCTATTATATAACTAAACTAATTGGACGACGGCGGAGGAATCAGTTTTCCTGCAACGGGCCCTCTCACACTACACATTCATTTCAATAAATAACACTAGGGACGCAAAAACAATCTAAATATACATATGAAATGAAACAATACTTTCTCCCCGAAGAATCGGAAGAGGGGACCCAGATATTCGCTGCCGTGCTCAAGCATAATTCTCATATCGGTGGCACTTCTACACGCTCTATATAAACATAGAACAAAGGAATTGTACAGTTCAATTAGATGGGACACATCAAGCTATCTTTCCTTACAACCCGACGCATACGCGGGCTTTGGCCCAAAATTTAGTGTTTGTGTGTCAAGCTCGCAAGGGGTACCTATAAATTTTTATTCTAAAAAAAAGATGTATAAGATGTTTATAAGACAAATTAATTTTTGATCAACTCGTAAAAAATAATTTTATGGTTGTAACTATCCTAATTGTTTTATTTTTATATTCCAAGGTTCATCACATTTTGAAAAATGCTTCTTAAATGCCAGGAGATGCCATACTACAAGTTTAAATGTTCCTTCGTTAATTATTTTAGGTTTTGTTAGATATCACTACTCAAAATATGGTTAATTAAAAAAAAATTGGGGTACTTAGTATGAAATGTGTAGAAAAGTAGCTAACAGCCATCAATTTTGTTTATAGATTAACAAAGTCTAATTACTACATTTTATTGTGTTTCTAATAATTTTTTAGGGAAATCCTTTTTCAGTTTAAAAAATTGGCCCTTAGGCAGACCAATTTTCCTTTAAAAGTTTTTTCCATTCCTCACCGCTAAGTCGTTTTCAAAAACTAAAGCGATACGGTTTAACGATAGGTTTTCTTCGGGGACTAAATACTCATCGTTTCCATCATTTTCAAAAACCGAATTTGTTAAATTTTCATTTTGCTGTAAGCCCAGAGTAGTCGAATTGAAACCATTTAAATCGCCGGGGCAATTTTGAAGGGCTTCTCCTTGGATATCCAATCCGTCTTTTGATACCGAAATCTGAAAGCAAAAACAACCAAAATTCTTTTTAAGTGGATACAAAATGAGAATTTAAGTCCATGGATGGGGCGAGTACTAATCGAAAAATTACACAAATCACTTATTAGTTTGTGCCCTTTGAAAGAAACATGTAAAATTTTATATTTCAATATGAACAATATAAAATCGAAATTGTTTCTATCTAAACTATTTGTAAAATCTGCTGATAGTTGTAGTATACAACAAACAATACGGAGAACAGATTGTAAGGGAGGAATCGTTCAACTCATAACCTTTGAGGATCAAGTTAAAAGAAATAACCCAGTCCAAGAGATAGCCTTGACAGGACGTTTGTTAGTTCACATGTTTAGTTATTTATTGTCAAGTTTTGAATATTCGGTTAATACGTGCCAAAGTAGTTTATTTATAATGATATTAACAATATTATTGCCTTAATAAGTAATTTAAGTAATTAAGACGATTATAAAATTCAGCTTAAAATATAAAAAAATGACTTAGTTTAATTACACATAAATAAGGTCATTTAATATTTCCATCTAACTAACGTAATGTTAATTTGGATTATAAATTAGTTTTAAAAACAATACGTGCGTGTGTATGAGCGAGAGAGAGAGAGAGAGAGAGAGAGAGAGAGAGAGAGAGAGAGAGAGAGAGAGAGAGAGAGAGGAATATAATAGGTACATAGAGATAGAGAGAGAGAATAGAGATATAGAGAAAGGTAGATTGGTAGACAGATATTAGGGATAGAAAGAGGAAAAAAGATAGATATAGATAGATAGGTAGGTAGATAGAAAGATAAATATATAGAGATAGAGATATATAGATAGGCTGAGATAGAAAGAAAGATAGAGATAGATTAGAGGAAAGCAAGGTAGTAGGTAGAATGTTTAATAGATAGAAAGAGAGATAGATAGATTGGTAGATTGATTATATAGAGATAGAAAAAGAGAAAAAGAGATAGAGATACATTAGATAGATTAATAGGTAGTTTGAAAGATAGTAAGGTAAATACATAGAGATATACAAAGAGAGATAGAGATATATAGATAGGCAGAGATAGAAAGAATTTTAGACTCAATCCAAGTATTTGTATTCATTTTCAGTCTAAAATTTCTAGCATTGTATAAATTCATTTTTTCACATCCTACATGCATTTGTATAATTTAAACAATGTTTATAAATCCCAGGCCCTGAAGATGATTTCAATAAAGGTCGAAACGTTGGCACGATAAAGAAAATGTTTTTCGAAAACCTACATCACACCAGACCACATCTCACGATCTCCAAATAATCATTAATTAACGGTCACTAAACATTACACATCGATAGAGATAGATTAGATGTAAGAGAGGTAGGTAGAAAGAAAGATTATTAGATAGATAGAGAAATAGATATAGGTAGATAGAGATAGTTAGATAGATAGATAGATAGATAGATAGATAGATAGATAGAGAGAGAGAGAGAGAGAGAGAGAGAGAGAGAGAGAGAGTGAGAGTGTGAGTGAGGGGGAGGAGAGAGGGTTGTTTTGTGTACATTTCCCATATATTAAATTATTTCTTTTACAATTTAAATAAAACAAAATGTTTTTACTGTTTTATTTATTTACTTACAGGCTCCTTGCTTTCGTCTGTTACCGTATTAAAGAGGGATAGCGATTTTTCGGGAACTTTCTGAGAGCAGCAACTCGTTTTTTCTTCAACACACAATGGACAGAAATGCTGATTCTGCAATATAACAAATATGAATTTCAGCAAATGAAGATGATTATTTTGTTAAATTTACGTTTATGTTACTGTTTGCAGATCCTGGTCCGTACTGAGTGTAGTATTTAATCCGACTATTTTCTATATCGGTACTCAGCTAAAATTTATAAAAAAAAAAAAAACTTAAACGCTTTTACTTCTTATACTTTAAAAGACTTACTTTAAAAATTTCGTAACCGTGTGAAATGTAATTGATCGGGTTGGCCTGCACAGTTGAACAAGGAGGCATACAAATTGAATTAATCTCTTCGAAACATAACGTACACACGCACACGTTCTAAAATGGACCGTTAGTTTAAAATTTTGTCAAAAATCGGAATCTTTTTCTTTGTCTCACCATAAAATCTGAGCTCGGGCGAATTCCTATCGGCCCGATATCCTTGTCCGTGCTCTCCTCAACCGCTAAGCCGGGAGATGCTTTGCAGTCCGAGAATAACGCAGCCGCATGCAAATTCTGAAAGTGATTGTAAGGAAAAGTTAAATATTTTTAACGCTTATTTTGATTTATTTTTTTAAAATTTAGGCTCTTTTTATCGCTCAATTTGCCAGATCTACCTGGCAGATAAAAAATAAAGCGACATTCTGCTGATTTGTTATGTTTATTTGTACAATTTTTGTGCAATATACTGTTTCTCCACGTTTTATTCAGTTCCATTTTTTAATTTACAATTAAAGCAATCGAAAATGTAAAACTAAGTGAATGAAGATTAAAAAAATATTTAGTTTAGAAAATATTTTTGGTAATATCAAAGCACCGATGTTTGTTAACTGTTTCATTTCAATAATATTTAATAAATATTTTTTAAAAATTTCAAATATACTGACCATTTAATTTGATACTACAACTACTAAATAATAAATAAAAAAAAGATTTTTAATGACGATTGGAAAATGTAAAACTTACCTCGATTTGCCCTGTGCACCAAGCATTTTCAGGAATGTCAGCAACTTTTCGTTTAAAGTAGCAATCACAGCACGGTTCACGCATGTTGCTCGGCATATCAAAATTGCGACCCAACCTTGAGATGAAAAGAGTTTGGTTTCGATGGCAACCGTTTTATAAAATAAGAAATCAAATTGATTGATAAAAATAAATAACAATAGTAACTATTAACACATGTTATAAAAATTCGGTAAGAATTTCCTAGATGTGGTGCTATCCAGTTTACAGAAAAAATAAAGATATTTTCCTCACATTGTTTTGAAGATTAGGTCGTATTTATATTTATGAATAATCATTATAAAGAAGTCAGCTGAGATGTTACGATATGACTGATAATCTTGCAGTACTGAAGTGTTGAAGAAACCTATATTGCATAAAGCATTAGTCTCCTAGGTATCGTGTAAATAAGAGATCGGATCTCGTCTTGTGAATAGAATTCCATTCTTTATCAAGAGCGGTTTGAAGCTTTATCATGCCCCATAAGTGTTCTAAAAGATTCATGCCAGGAGAAGAACCTGCTGGCTAATTCAATGTGGTAATGCTCTATATCCTCCAAGTGATATGTGCCATGCATTGAGACGAAGTTGTCTCCAATAAATGGAGCAAATGGGACCACAGCTTCCAGAAGAACTTCCTGAATGTACCTTAGTGCACTCAAAGATCCATTCCGTATGATAATCAATTCGAGAGGGTCATGTACGTTGATTCCATATTTCCACCCCATAACTTAACTGACAGTCTTTGCAAAAGCTATGACTCACGCATGGCACATGAAACAAAGCGTTCTCTACTTCTTCTTCACACACGGTCCCGATCATCCGATTGCCACAAGCCAAACCGGCGCACATCTGTGAAGAGGAAAACTCCCCTTTGTTCAAGTGTTCAAGAGAGATGTTGGTTTGCGAATAGTCGCTTTTCTGCTCGATGCCTCTTCAATAGTAAAGAACCCGATGGGGCGTCTGGAGACTAGGTTATTTTCACAAAGCCGTTTTAAAGTTTATCCTTATACGAAGCAGTTAAATGACAGTTCTGTAGTGCGGTAGGGCAATAAAACTTTAGTCTCTAGTCGTCATACATCGCGGTCGGACACTACCTAAGTACCTACCGATTGAGACTTCCCGTGGCCCTAACCGCTGTTTACCATCGAGGATGGTAGAGCACGGCACACCCAGGACTTGAGCTATGTAAAATTTATTGTTTCATCAAAGAAAACATTGAAAAAAATTAACTCACTACAAATTGGCTCTGGAAAGGATGAAATTGAACTGATTTTAATTATTTTTAATCTAAAGAGCTTAAAAGGATTACTAACACTCTATAAAAGTAAACAACAAGTTATTAATGTTGTGTTTACGTTTTAAGTCAACTATTAATCTTTATAACTAGTTATTTTGAAAAATAGACAAATAAATATAAATCTCTGTTTTTTGTTTTTGAGTGTATATTCAAATAGAAAACAAAACAAAAGCAATGAGACTTATTGGTGTTGTCTGCGGGGTGATCAACCTGTAATTTGGTCGTCACCGATCATTTTGGTCTTGGCAGGATCGGCGTCCTCGCTGGGTTAATTTGTCAGGATAGATAATTTTAGTCTGTCAGAACAACACAGCTAGGATGGGCAGTCTAAAACGATCGGAAACGACCGAATTACAAAAATAGTTTATAAACTTTTCTAGTGAATTTTAACCATCAGATAAGGGATGTTGCCAATTAATGATTTCTTTAAGTGAAATATTGCGTTGAGGTCAGCAAGTCAACGAAAAGCTTGATCGAATCTTAGTCGATATCATTATTGTTCAAACAGGATTTTGATTTTCAAGAAGTGAAGGTATTCTAAAGAAGGAATAAGTATAAACAGAGGAAAACAGCAAGGTTGGTAAAATTTAAAAGGATACATATTTTCTGTCTCATCATTAACAAAACCTAGATCTAGAAATATTTGAGGTGGAAAGAGTATGTTAGTTTACTATTGTGAAATAATGGTTTTTCTCACAAACTGGTGTGTCCACCGACTACCCTTTCCAAAAAGTGAAAAACCATAACCCTCATTTAAATTAGTACATTTACATTTAAAATATAGTTTTTAAGGCCTTAAAATTGTTTATTGCCCATAGCCGAATAGTTTACATTTTTAATATTTTCAAAAATTGATAAATATTAATATAAATAATAACATAAATATATAATAAATATGAATAAACAAATAAAAATAAACAAACAATTAAACATCAATACTTATATAAATAAATATTTACACTTCAACAACAGTTAATTCAAATATAACACGACATTATAAATTTAAAAAGGCTCCTGTAAGTGTCAATTTCCTGATGCCAGTAATTTATGTAGGTTGCATAAATGGTTGCTTTATTAAAGACTTAGCGATTGCTTGATATATCCTCTCCTCTGATTTTAAGGCTTAGGACAATGAAATAATCGACTAAAATTACCATTAGAGACGTATTGCACCTTTAATTCGACCACACCATCTTTTAGGAAAAGCAGATCCATTTCATACCTTATGTAAAATTTTGTATGAAGCTTGTATGCTTCGACTGGAACACTCGACATCATCTTTCGCACATCGGTTATTAGGCATACAAGAGACAATCTTCAGATAAAACTTTAAATTTTCTATAAGTAGATACTCGACGATAATAAGTAATGACTTATGGATGGTTTTTCGAACTTGTTAAAGACTTATAGCTTAAGTTGGTGGACGGCTCCTTATAAGGATCCCTTCTGGCCATGCATTAAACAAAAGGGTACGTTAACATGTCGATATTATAATAAGCCAATTGTTGGGCCGTCCTCAAACTCAAATAGAATACAGGATTACAAGGGAGAACGACGTAATTCGTAGGGGATCCGCCCGCCCTCGCTTGTTAGAAATCCCACACGTTCAAATAGATGGTGTTTCTTTTTGTCCATTTCGCCATCTTGGTTTTTTACATACAGAAATACATCCCGTGTTTATTTTTTTGTTCAAAAATCACTTGAATACGTTATTTCCAAATTAGAAGAAACAAATTTTGAAGATCTCAAAACCAAATATAAATTATGAACAATATTATAAATAAAGCTTATCACTGTGATAGGAAATCTATTAAAGCTATAATAGTCATATTATATTTAAAGTTTTTACAAAAAAATAATAATATCTCAATCTTATTTCTAAATATAAATCGTTTTGTTTACTTTTACGCGATTTTCAGCACAGTATTAGTGTCGATACTACTGCTATCGCATTCTCATATTTATACAAAATGAGGCATTGTTGTTGACGCCATACGGCAGGGTTATAAGCACGGAGAGGCGGACGGTGTCGAGTACGAACTGATGTGTTCTAGTTGATCAAAGTACATACACTCTATCGGCTGTTAAGAGTACTGTTCCGACGTTTTTAAAAGGAACATAAATCGAATCAAATCTCGATCGCTTACCATTAATAGAATTGTCAAAACTTTCCAAATTTATCACTTGTAATAATTATTATTCTACAAAACCGCTATATTGTAGTTTGGAAGAAATTTATGCCGATGACGAACACTATCATAGGCTTCATCCTTCATCGTCTAGACACCAATATTTCTATTTGTCTATCGTTTGATTAATATACTCAATTATATAAATATATATAATTTATACTCGACGACGTTCGTAACAACCCACGAAATTTCATTTCAAAAAAATTAATTTTTGGTTTATAGACCTGTCTTCGTATAAAATTTATAGCAGCATATTTTCATGCTAGTTAGTAGATGTGAGTACATGAAAAGTTTTTTATTTGAAATTGATGTTTCACTCTCTAGGGTTGGGAAGTGGGGGAATTGCGGTTTAATAAAAACAACTGTTTGGATACAGAATTTCAGCAGTACTTATATTTTATGTATGCTCCCAAATAGACGTTTCTAATTATACTACATATGATTAATATATAGTAAATACATATACAAGAAGTTCAGGTCCTTTTTTTTCTTCCAATCGATTTATTTGGAGTAGTTTTGTTTAAATAGTCAGGCAGAAAGACATGTTCCAACGTGGAAAGCGCTTCTCATATAACTCAGAATTTTATAGGCGAACGACAGTTTATATCCCGTTTTTGAGGAGTAGTGATGAAATCAAGAAAAAAAATAAGGTTCTGGAGTCGGAGCATGGACGGGAACCATAAAGTGCCAGGATGTCGGACGCGGTCCTGTCCCTCAGGAAATAACTGAATTAATTTAAACCCAGACAATATTGGAGGGCTGACGTTCAAAAAACGGGATTATCCATGGTCCGAGGCCAAACTGGTCCGGGGGTGACAAATGGCCGAGGACCGTGAGATACCCACGATTAAAAAGGGGGAATTCAAGGTGGGTCTTCTCGTCGTCTTCTGCCGTGAAATTGAACTTAAGCCAAAGGAATAGAATATTACCAGTTTCATGATTAAGATGTTTTAATACATTTAAATTTATAATAAATTTTTGAATCGACATTTTAATATTTCAACGAAAAAATTTGCTTTCAGATAGAAAAAAATATTCCTTCCTCGCTCACTTTTTTCCATTTTCTCTTCTTACTATTTATTATGATTTTATATTTCTCAGTCTTTTGCTTTATCTCTCTTGTCACTCTCTTCACGTTCTATATTTGCTATCTCTCACCTCCCTCTCACTATTATTACCCTACACAAAACCTGTTATCACCTTCAGACTAATTAATTCTTTAGTAATGGCTTATATTCATTACAACATAGTCGCCATGAGTGATCTCAACTATCATTACAAAATAAACTTCAAAAAGCACAAAGTACGTGCATCCGTTATATTCTGAAAATAAAATGTGATTCTAGAAAATACGATAAATTTTTAACTATTGCATAGCAACCTTTTTATGCAAAATTCTACGTACTAAAAACCCTTCCTACATGTTTCATAATTTTAAATTTCAATGCAATATCCATTACATTAATAACAGAACAGGAAATTAATTAATTACATTAATAACAGAACAGGAAATTAATTAATTCATCTACCAAAACACAGAACAAAAACACTTAATAATTTATTTAAAATAAAAACTTCAAAAATCTTA